GAGCTTCCCTGAAGCTCTCAATTATATTGAAGGTCTCGGTTCTGCCCTGAAATACATGGAATTCTCGTAAACACCTTTAATCTTCACTGAAATTCTCTACACTTCTGTGAAGTTCCTGAAAGATTTCTCATAAAGTTATAATTTCTCTGAAGGTCTCTGTAAATCTCTGAAATTCTCGGAACAACTTAAGGGTTCTCGATTTTTTTTAATGATTGATGATTATGATGAACCCACTGCTTACCCCTTCCTTCAGCACATTATGGAACTATTCTAAAATTTTCTTAACTCATGCTTATTGATCTTGCTTCAAAAGTCTGGACAAAAGTTACGGGAACTGCCCTTAAGATCTCTGAAATTCCCCGAAAATCACTAGATCTAACTTTTCTGAGATTCTTAGAACTACTTAAAAGTTTCCACAATTTTCCTCAAGTTTTTTTATAATTCAGAAGTTCTCTTGACCAGTCTTAAGCGGTCATGGTAGTCGACACATTTTTTGTGATAGTCGACTGCCTCCGACACTTGCAAAACAAGCTATCATAGTACAGTACCAAAATAAAATGTCATATGACAGGCTCTGTCATACGACACTATCGCCGAAGACCGTCACGAATGTATGTATTTCAGTCTTTCTCGTAATAAGAACTGCTGATGTTGCGCTTGTGTTAATTCTGAAAATAGCAAGCAATGATGTCCTAGTAATAACATTTCTGATCAGAAATGGTTTAATTTACACCACATTTAGAAATTGGAACGAAATCACACGCACACGTCACATGGTAGTTATTTGAAAATTTTCTTTTTTCACGAATGTTGTTCTACCGCTTGTGTTGTGTGAAAGAGATGACGGTAGAGCATGAGTGTACGAATACAAACAGACTGTCACGCACGACAACGCAGCGAGTGTAGTAAAAAATGTCATCCATTTCAACCCCTGCTCTTGACAGTGGTGAAGTTCCCTTCATGAAACCTCGTGAAATCCTGGGAATATTGAATAATGGTTTCTAAGAGGCTTGCACAAGTCCAGAGATCCATGGATGAAATTGTCATTTTCGAGCGCTAAATTGATAACGCTTTGATAATGTCATGTTAGGGGCACGAGGTCTTCGGAGAAGTTTATTGCTTAGGTCGAAGTTTTAATATCGATGATTAATCCCCCTATAAGTACATCTAGAATACTAAGTTAAGAGCCGTTAAAACGCTCTCTACGGAAGCGAAAACAGCCTAAGAGAAGAAGAATAAGAAGAATTTTATCTAGTTGAAGATGCTAATTTCAAATAACAGACTAAAGTGATAATTTTTATACGTTAGATGAGGAGGAGATGAAAGTATAGAATAATAGTTCCGTTTAGAGTACTGCAGTGTGAAAATCGCATATAGAGAGTACCCAAGTAACATTGCAAGTTTTATGGAGGTTTTAAAGTAAGCTACAAGTCTAAATCATGGTCTGCAGAACCCTTATAAAACCGAAATTGTTACTTGGGTAGACAGCGAGCTAGACAACTTTTTTAGGAAGGTAGGGAGGCCTTCCTTCAAATAACAACTGAAGTGCGGTAAAAATCGGTAAAACTGTTTCAAACACACCGCTGGTACTTGAGCGGTCGGTGTTCATCTCTTTTTGCCAGTGGTGGCAGGGGGGGACACCCCTCACTATCCCTCTCCAAAGGGGGAGTTTGGTAAAGAGAGATGATAAAACCGATTTGTACCTTCCTAAAAAAGTTGTCTAGCTCGCTGTCTACCCAAGTAACAATTTCGGTTTTATAAGGGTTCTGCAGACCATGATTTAGACTTGTAGCATACTTTAAAACCTCCATAAAACTTGAAATGTCACTTGGGTACTCTCTATATGCAATTTTCACACTGCCGTACTCTAAACGGAACTATCAATTCTATACTTTCATCTCCTCCTCATCTATCGTATAAAAATTACCTCTTTAGTCTGTAATTTGAAATTAGCATCTTCAAGTATGTAAATCGTTGACTTCACGCAGAAGTAATACTAAACATATAGTCAAAGAATTTTATCGTTATCGGAGCATAATTACTAGAAAGTTTAATTGTCTGTGGATGGATGTCGGCATTTGAACCAAAAACAAGGCTACTGAGTGCCAAAGTTATAGCGGCTTAACTCGTTTACTGAAACTGACTGGGATTTCCACGGATTATTTACAAAGACATACGAGAAACACGAATAAGGACTTCCAGAATAAAAAAAATTCCGTCGCTTCCAGACAAGGACTTAATTGAAAAGTTGTGATGATTTCACAGGCATGCTCTGAAGAATAATCCAACACATTTAAAGGATTTGATAAGCAAGCTTAGAGGACTTCGGGAGCAAACTTCAAGTTAAAGTCCGTGGGATTTACCAGATTAAGTTCTTTGAATTATTATGCAACTTTCAGAGCACATCATAAATCAGAGAAATCATGTCCAGAAAACTTATAAAGTATATTCAGATAGCTTCCAGCGTAATGCAGAAGGACCAGAAGATGCTTTTGGAATATCCTGTGCAAGTACAAATACCTACAACATTCCCAGAAAATGTCTGGGTTTGTATTTTCTGGAATCCGGCTGCCAGCGATTTAAAGATCTAGCAAGTGAGTGAGTGAGTGAGTGAGTGATAATGGTAAAACCACTCTGATTATGACTCTGTGAAAGCGAACTAGACATTTTGTTTGTATTTAACTCATAGTTTGCAAACTCTTATTGCTACATATACAAGTGCAAAATATCATTATAACATTTAATGATGTCATAATTCCGTAAAACATTCTTTATGGCTAAATAATTCGAAGCAACCTTAAATCTGTAATCTGCAATGACATCATGCTTATTATGGTTTAATTCTATTGAACTTTTCACAGTTCAAACAATCTAACAGTCGAATTATATAAACTCTAGACAAACATGTGAAAAGGGTCAATGAGTCACATGTAAACCATGACTTTAAACGTCGATGTTTTCACGAATGACAACTCATCCACGCAAACTAACTACACCATACACACTTAAAGGGTGATACGGTCAAAATTTGGTCAATATCAACTTGACGTATTTCTTTCAATTTTGCATTTAAAAAACCTGAACACCCCTCATTTTGAAGGTGTGTGTGTGTAGAATGTTGCTCCTATTTTGATTTTGGAATTCACTCTTCAGTTGTCAAAATGCCGTCCAAGCAAGAAGAGCAGCGTATCAAAATTTTGCTCGCGCATCGCGAAAATCCGAGCTACTCGCACGCAAAGTTGGCAAAATCGCTAAAAGTTGCCAAATCAACCGTTACAAATGTAATTAAAGTGTTTGGGGAACGTTTGTCGACAGCCAGGAAGTCTGGATTGGGGGGAAATCGAAAACCGGAAGCCGCTGAGACGACAAAGAGAGTTGCCGGTAGTTTCAAGCGAAACCCTAACCTCTCTCTCCGAGATGCCGCAAATAAGCTGGGTGTATCGTCTACAACCGTGCATCGAGCCAAAAAACGAGCCGGACTATCGACTTACAAGAAGGTAGTGACTCCAAATCGCGATGATAAACAAAATACGACGGCCAAAGCGCGATCCCGGAGGCTGTACACGACGATGCTGACGAAGTTTGACTGCGTGGTAATGGACGACGAAACCTACGTCAAAGCCGACTACAAGCAGCTTCCGGGACAGGAGTTTTATACGGCAAAAGGAAGGGGAAAGGTAGCAGATGTTTTCAAGCACATGAAACTGTCAAAGTTCGCAAAGAAATATCTGGTTTGGCAAGCCATCTGTACCTGTGGCTTGAAAAGCAGCATTTTCATAGCTTCCGGGACTGTCAACCAAGAAATTTACGTGAAAGAGTGTTTGAATAAACGTCTGCTGCCTTTCCTGAAGAAACACGGTTGTTCCGTACTGTTTTGGCCGGATTTGGCATCTTGCCATTACGGTAAAAAGGTCATGGAGTGGTACGCCGCCAACAACGTGCAGGTGGTTCCCAAGGACAAGAACCCTCCCAACACGCCAGAGCTCCGCCCAATTGAGAAATACTGGGCTATTGTCAAGCGGAACCTAAAGAAGACCAAAAAAACTGCTAAGGGCGAGCAGCAGTTCAAGGCAAACTGGCTTTCTGCGGCGAAGTAGGTGGACAAGGTGGCTGTACAAAATCTGATGGCAGGGGTCAAGCGTAAGGCCCGGCAATTCGGATTTGGAAAAGCGGAAGCCTAACTGAATATTTTTCCTGAATTTTATACTAATTGAACTTGAAAAAGAAATTTAATTTGATTTTTTAAATAAACGATTTCACCGATTTACACGCGTTTTCCCTTGACCAAATTTTGACCGTATCACCCTTTAGAAATAACTAATTTTACACGTGACGGAATCTATCTTTGACATAAAAGATGAGACGTAAACAAACATGTCATGTAATATTAAGTGCTCCGACACTGAAAAGTTCGAAAGTACGTTTGATTGAGCTGAATTTTGCGTCTATTATGACTCAATTTTATGTCAAAATTGACGCTCGTATACGTCAGTCTCAGAACCTAAATTTACATCATTTTTTCTAAGTGTGTATGATAGATTGAACTTCCTCTACCAGTCGCTGAAGTTGGTTTGCCTAGATGAGTCTTCATTCACGAGACACCGACGTTTAAAGTCCTTGTTCGGCTAGAATTGCCCTTTATTCGTGCACAGAAGTAATTTGGTATGAGCTGTTTTATAAAATGGAAATAAATGTGGTTTTGAGTCTCAATTGGTTCTTGAACTTATAGTGAAAGTGACCTATCGTGTAAATAAAACTTCGAAAATAGTTGTCACTTCAGACTGCAAAACGCTCTCGTCGATGTTTTGCCGTTTGTAATTTCGCACAAAACGACGAGAGCTTTTCGCAATCTGAAGTGATGTCTCAGAGAAAACCATTTTAGAAATTTTCATTAACTCACTAGGTCACTTTCACCTTAACAGTTGAGGGTAGTCAAATTATCTAGATTTTTTTATTGGTTGGAAATTCTCACAACAGCTGACTGTAAAACGTTAGCTTACCTAATGATATCATGTGTTGGATGATTGTGACCATATCACGAGCTTCCTTCACGTAGAACTCGTTGTCCTGGTAGGTTGGAAGGTCAAGATCTGGAAAAGAGAATGGCAATATTAGGTCTACTGGGAACATAAACATTAATTAGATGAGCTTAATCACTGTAATCCATCTATTGCAGCTTTACGACGTTCTATAAGGATTCAATTATATGCGATCCACCACCAATACCAATCAATCTGGCCCTGAGAACCGTCAAGTTAAGAGTGATTCATTGCATTTGGATGTCACGGTTAACACTTGTTCATTGTAGTATCGATTTCCCATTCGATTCCGACTAGATGTAGGTTTCACATTGGCTTTATTATTGCACTCATGTCCATTGAAACTGACGCAAAATCACACAACTCCCTCCAATGAAAGACTTAGTAAAGGTATGATCTAACAGCTAATATCCGCGACTAATGGATTTGTACGGCGATTCACTCTAAAGCAAACACTAGAAAGTTGCCTTTGCACAGCGGCAGCTCCGAATTTGACTAAATGAATCTAAATCCATCTCAGCTTTGCACATTTTCTCCCATTAAACCGAAACGAGCACAACAACAACAACATCAACAATATACAAACAATTAATTTGATTTTGTCATCACAACTCAATCAACGCACCACTAATCGAATTGCTGCTGCCGCGAAATGATTCTCTCAAATGACGCTTTACACTGACTTTGACACTAACGACAGCCGACGGCGCAAACGAATGGAAACCGAATGAAAGGGGGACAAACAACAAGTGCTGGTCCAGCAAGATCTGTTGGTTCAGCAGTGCGTCGTTGGGATCAATCGGGTGCTTGTTGTTATTGTGTTCTATATGCGGGAGTAGGGTTTGAATTACTTCCTATAGACTGGGGACTAGCCGAGTGGAATTCCTAAGGAATTGAATGAATTTCCTGATCATTTTTGCAATCCATTTTTGTCCGATTTGCAAGCGGATTTTGCTGTGCGTAATGTAACAGGGTGTCTACCAGTATGAGATTTCAGGAGCAACTGAAATTCGTGCTAGTGAACTAGCATAAGTGTAAACATCCCAGAAGCGACTTCGAACGAGTCATTCCGACTCAAAGTTATGTTAGTCCCTGTAGCCATCCCGAACTCTCATTCACAAGATCTTACAATGGCCTACTCACCCTAATAAAAATTGTATGGTTAATTTGCTTAACGACGTGTTCTGGGTATCATCCAAACCATTTGTGGAATAGTTCAATGATTTGGGTTATCGTTCGTTTATGGTTATTTTTTATTAGGGCAGGGCTACCGGCTAAGCATAACTTCCTCCAATTTCATCCGGCTCCAATGCTTTCCCAACCGCTACAGAGCAACAAGTGTGCGCGCTTGCTTCATAATAACAAAACCCCGCTCACCGCTACTTGTGACTGCGATGACAACATTAAATGCGATCATCCACATAGAGAGCGCCGGAGTGCAGGCAGTGATTTATGAATCACACCGCTCAAGTAGCACTCCAGCACGACCACAATCGCTTACCAGTTACCATACAAATGAGAGTGAAATTACCATATGTGTATGTGCATTTGAATAACATCTCTAACCCGACCTCTTATACCTCTGCAGCACCCACGCCACGCTTGCAGCGACGAACTTCAAAAAGGGCCCAACCGTGTGCTCGGATTAACGGCCTCCCTCTGGTGGCATTCACCACGAATATAGAGCACAACGTCAAACGCAGCAGCATCAAAGAGAGGGTGTCAACTTCTGTGTTTCTCGGTCTATTCACACTGGCTCAACGCGAGATAGTAGACAACCGGTTTCAGAGGAATCCATTGTGGCGTGGCAGGACTTGCAATCTTAAACTGCTGGCGGCGCACCGGTCGGTGGTCATGTTTTTCAGTTATTAGTGGCAGACATTTTGGCGACGACGACGACGACGACGATTTTAAGTGTTTAAATGTAGTGCTGCAGCAGCAGCAGACTAAACTGGGGATCGCTTCAGCAACACCCGGCCGGAGACGGCCAGCGGTGGGTGATTGAGCGATTCAATAACGGGTTGTCAAATAGGTTGGTTTATATCAATCAAATGTGACTAGAGGGGGAGCTTGCCATTTGACGTGAAATGGGTACCGTGTGTTTATTATATTTGACACGAATTATAATATGGTAATTATGTGCGAGTGTGGCTTAAGAGTTTTATTGGGATTTATGACAATGTGCTTGAAGTATGGATAATATAGGTGTCAGCTACTTGCTGCATGCTTGACATGAGTAGATGTCCATGCGAGGCGCTCCAAGTGCAGTAGAAAGCTGCGAAGCGATAAGCAAACCACCGATAGAGCGCCATTCAGCTCAGTTGTGGCTACTAGCTGAACTACTGGCAATGCATCTCCACTTAACACGTACTAATTACTCAGAAGCGTAGCAAGTCAATCTTACGAATTCTTTCGATCATTTAATTCAAACAATTCAAAGCAGATCTTTTTTAGATCGATGCACACTGGGCCAGAAATGCAATCTAGCGGAGCAAATTTAGTAACTGCGAAACGAAGCATTTCTGCGACTTGCTGTCTTCGGTAAAATTTCTCATCATAATAAGGACCATCAATTGACATAAACAAATGGTTCAAAACTCTTCCGCAAAGATGGCGCCACAATCTAACTTCTTTCTATGACATTTTTGAGACTTGATGTCTTGGGCAAAGTTGTTTGCCTTGACAAAATAAACAACTCGTTTCAAGACGTGAAATTCCCAGCCTACTGGTTCCGAGTTATACGGAGTTAAAGAAAAAATTTCGAAAATATGTTTTTTCTTTCTGTTTCGGTTTTTTTGCTGATAACCATATAATGTTATATTTTTCTCTTATGCAAATGCATTAAATAAATAACTTTTGTGACGAAACATACTGGAAAAAACAACCATTTTCGAACTTTAATATCTCCCAAAGCGCAAAAAATCGCAACCTGAAATTTTCAGCAAAAATTAAGGAATACTCGATAAACAAAATATTAAAATTTGAAAGAGGTTTATTTTGGTGTTTTTGAGATTTCATCATTTTAGTGGAGCATGTATTTTTTTCAATAACTTTTTTTAATGCATTGAAATTGCGTTTTGAAGACTTGACGACTTAGGCAAAGTTGTTTATCTTGATAAAATAAACAACTCTTTTGAAGAAGTCAAAACTCCACAGCCTACTGTTTTCGAGCCATTTTTGCGGAAGAGTTTTGAACTATTTGTTTATGCCAATAGATGGTCCTTATTATGATGAGAAACTTTACCGAAGACACCAAGTCGCGGAAATGCTTCGTTTCAGAGTTATTAATTTTGCTCCGCTAGATTGCATTTCTTACCCAGTGTGCAATGTGGATTACACTCACATTGAAACCATAAAAGTGCAGACACTTAACACTCCTCCTACCAGCCACAGAAAAATGTGGAACAGCAAGTATGAAAGTCAACCATTTATTGACGGGTCTTTTCAAAACTTATGGCAGGCCAAGCATGGCCAGAGTGCTTCGTAAAAATTCGGGAAAGGATTGTAGAATTGAGAATCTTGTACAAATCTGGGAAACGTCACTGAAGTTCAGAAAACTTTGTATAAGTTTCAGAAACTTCAAAAAAAATTATCTTCAGGGCACTTCGTTGAAGTTGTGTGTGCGTGTCATCCTCTACCCCTCATGCAACTGGGGGCGTTGGACAAATAGAACTGCGAATAATTTTATCAGCGATTTTACGACACGAAGTTGACAGATGTTATGTGTTAAACGCATACTTTTTTTTTCGGGCAGAATGAGCCTCATCAAGCCTGACTGATGGGTTTTTTTTAACGTATGACTACGTCTTTCTTTATTATAGTGGGGGTCACATTAAGAAATCAAAAATGAGACATGTAACGAAAATGGAGGGTGTTTTCAAACGCATATTTCTCCAAAGCATTAATGTGAAATATGTCATGCATTATGCCATTTGACGGCAAATTTGTCCAGCAATTTTGTAGCATATAGTAGATAGCGAAAAAAGTTAAACTACTAAGAAATTTGACTAAAATTGGAAGTAGGTGTCTTTCCTAACATAGTTGGTACCAAACGAAACAAGCCGAAGCCGCATTTCCTATCGAACTTCGAACGTGCTCATGTCGTTCATCACGAAGCAGCTCAATTGACACACAGACGGTATGCCGGACCGGTGGAAAGGATCCCCGCCAGCAGCTTGCTACCAACGCTGCCTGCAAGAGCACCCCGGCCAGAGAAAAGCTACACCGCCATGCTTCGGGTACAGTTGCTCATCGTGAGAACATCAAACTCGCTCACCAAATCCGTAGAGAAAGCGTCTTTTAATTTTTTGATCAAAATTTGTAATATTTTTTTATCAGTGTATATTTGAAAAGACAATCCAGTTTCCTAAAACTTTGTCTCAGACATTAGTTTCGATTAGATGAGCCGTTACCGTGCTTTGATTTATTGAAAAATATCACATGCGCCATTTTGAAAAAAAAAATAGGCTGTGCCAAAATGGTGAAATTCCAGCACCAACTTCTGATTCATTGCCTCTAGTGAACAAGTATGCGAAGTTTCATAAATTAATTGTCTTGTGCCTAGTAGGACGGAAATTAGATCAAAAACCCTACATATATCTAGAGGATTCAGGACATTGCGTTGTTGAAATAATAATCTGAGCAAAGCTAGTCGAATATCATGAATCATTCAATAACAAAGCTAAGATATTTCAATAAATATTTGGCCAACATTTCTCTAACAATGAAAATTTTGCCTGCTAAAAAATCGTTCTAAATTTGGGTTTCATTTGGAAAGTTTGCTCAGTTCAATTTCTTCGAAGTCAAGGGCAATTCGAAAAAGTTAAGAGAACATCATTTAATTTCAAAGAACTTTGTAGAGACTCGCAGAAATTCTGAAAAATAAAAAAAAACCTTGTAGAATGTCAAGGAACTTCATAGATTTTCAAGAAAGGTCGTAGAACTTTCGAAAAAATTAATTAACTGAACCGCGTAAAAGTTATGTGTAGACGAGGCTAGACCACACTTACTTCATAACGAAATTTGTTGAACTTCGTCAAGCATTGTTGAAA